ATGTTTACTATACCTATATGCTTTTTGTGTATAAACGAGTGTTTTTTCTATGTATTTAAACAGCTCTGTAGTGCACTGGATGATAATAAACATTTCATTGAGATTCTGAAAGTTGGTCTTTCATTAAGACAGACTGAGTATTGAGCATGTATTTAAAATATGCAGACATTTTAAAATATGCTTTATTAATCAACTGATGATTGGAGACTTATAGAAATGTATTTCCAGAGGATAGTTGCATCTATAATGGGTGTTTGTTGATTTCTATTACCATCTTTAATATTTAGGCAGGTTGGGAAAATTATTTTTTTTATTTATAAAGTATATATATTTTTTGTCTATAAAGTGTGTAGGACACTGACAGTTAGTGAGACTAGTTTCTTGAATTTCAAGATAGGTGTTTGTATTTAGAAAGCTTGTTCAGGTGTATCAATATAGCCGTAGGCATTAGGTGAGAGTGAGTGACAACAGAAGCCAGGAGCGGAGTTTCTCAGCCATTCATTCAAACATGCCTCATTACCTTTTCACTTTCATTCTTCCAAGCAATATGAAAATCATTTTTGTGCTCTTCAGGTCATGGAGTAGTTCTTATGGTAAACATTATATTGTAATGATGGAATCTTTTTACCCACATTATTATTTGATATATACAATATATATATATACTCATTCTATCATTCCCATTGTATAGGCATTTCTGTGAAATATAAACCAGAAATACTGCAATTGCTTTATGCAATGCTCATATTTTTTTAAATACAGGCACTGGAATCATTACCAAAGTTAATGAACAGGAACCCAAACACTGTTAAGAGAATGCCATCAGTTTATTTCTCTTTTCAACAACCACATGCTACAAATAACTGTTTGCACAATTTACATGAACCAGAATACAATAAAGATGTACAAATATAAATAGATAACCTATATACAAGCGTTAATCTCCAGGAGAGAGTTACATTTGAGATGTACCGAGATTTCAAAGTGCTGTTAGTGGAGTATCAACACGAACCAGTTTGTGTGATCCAATGTCATTTCACTGTCAATTTCAGTGGAAATCATTGATTCAGATATGGAAAAGACCTCAAATGTTTTAAACACTTGGTTTACCATAACAAAGGCATTGTGACTTACAATCAAGACCATACATTAAAATAGTAAACATTGACAAATAGCCATTTACAGAAGTTTAATGGAAATCACTATATTTTAAAATAAGTTTTGATGAAAATATCTGCACATGGTTTACAAATCAGAAACCTGTCAGCACTTTGTGGCATATGAATATCAGCTGTCTCAGTCTGTTGTTCTGTTTTATATGATCTTGCAGGTGTGCTCTCGGTTATTAGACTCAAGGCATTCACTGGCCTAAGGCATTGGGGTGGTTCACTTCCAGTTGATGAATAGCAGGGCTCATGAAATGTTTGGTATGTGCTTCGCTGGCAGGACTATACTTCACCTCTTTTGAGATGACTGTGGCACATCCAAGCGGTAGAAATGACAAAAGAACCAGCTACAATGGTCCTTCTCTCCCCCTTGCTCACTGTGTGAGTGATACAACAACATGACAGAACTGGAGCACCTCGTTCATAATCATCACCACATTGCAAGTATGCTCTAGTTCAGTCACTCTCAGTGTAGACGGGGTCCCTCTCTCTCTCTCTCTCTCTCTTTGTTCACATTTTGATTTTAGCATAGAGCTGGTCAATCTGCTGTCTGAAGTGGTTTCTCAGCTCGGTTCTCTTTGCTTTCAGTGTTGGTGTGAGAAGTCCATTCTGAACAGAGAACATTTCCATGTGCAGGGCAATGTCCCTCACCTACACACATACACACAAAGAGATTAGATAAAAGAATATACAATCATTTTTAGTATGCTAATAATATATAACAGCTTAAATATTATAAGTATAATAATAGAATATTGTTCTAAAATCATTTTAATATTTATTAATTAATTTTTTATAATATAACAATAATTATAGCAATTTTATTAATTATTTGTAATAATAATAATAATTTTAAAATACCATTATACTATTTAATAGTATTAACAAACTTTATTACATTATTCTAAACTAGTGTTGACCTGATTTCATTTTATTGTCCAACAGAGAGATAATGTATAATTAAAATGATGTAAATCTCTGTTGGGCAATAAAACTGAGTTAATATAGAAATTGGGTCAGCAGTAAAAACATTATATTATGCTAAACTAATGTTATTAATTAAATATTATTGTCATTATATTGTAAGCAACAAAATGATATTGTTTACATTATAATTATTATTTTAAAAGGTTATTGGACAAATCAACCATATTTAGAAAAAATTGAAATATCATGAACATTCTTAGTGTTATTTATGAGTTAATGGACCCTGTTTTAAAAAGACCCTTGCTAGTACTTCTGTATTTTGACATGTGGATCAGTATTCACAACCAATCAAACAGTATAACAAGAAACTAACAGATACATTTTGTAAAACATTTTGTGGGATGTGAAGGTTTGTGATTTGTGCTAGAGTTGTCAAGAAGTAAAAGAGTTGGTTTTGTATATTAAACCTGTTCAAAGGACTTCAGTCCAGCTTCTTTCCCTAGCCGAATGATATCTTCCAGGATGGCATTTTTCAGTTCCTGGTTAAAACAATATCAGAAGTCAGGGATGGTACAAGTCCTCATATTTCAACAAATTAAAAATGTAAACATTGTCATCAAATGTGAATCCAAAGCCTCCAAATCCGAAGTGTTGTACCTTGCTTTTGCACATTTCAGTATAGGAGCCCTCAATGCCTCTTTTCTTTGCCCATCCAGGCAGAAAATCTGGATCAGGAACCAAAATGCCCACTAAACAAGCCTACAAAGAGACAGGACGGGTTTACTCCACTGATCTATAATAGCACATACCCACACATATTAAAGCACATCCACACTCTGTTTCACTGCTATGTGGAAGTCACAGTCATTCAGTCCCGTCTCTCACCTGCAGACTGTCTCCATGTACAAAGACCTGAGCCACAGGGTCACTGTGGATGTAGATGTTCTCAATCTTCTCTGGAGCGATGTATTCACCCTGGGCCAGCTTAAAGATGTGTTTCTTCCTGTCTATAATCTTCAGAGTCCCATTCTAAAACAATAAATACTCAACTTCACTAACTAATTAAAAGAAGGGGGAAGGGTTCTGTTCTCTTAAAACGCAAGAATTCGTTTGAAAATATTTTCAAAATGTGCAACATTTTGGAAAGACTGTGCAAAAGTTAAATGCTTCACTTATCTACCGTTGTATTAACAGGAGCTGGTGAAGTTTCAAGTAAGAGTTTCAGTGGACTCACAAGCATTAATATGTAAATTTTTCAAAAAATTCTAAAACAAATTGTCTTGGACATTATTTTTTTAGAATGCATGGTGAGCATAAGAGACAAGACATTTACTCATAAGTTAAGGCCCTTTCACACAAAGAATGATAACCATAAAGATAACTATTACAATAACTATATTAGCGTGTGTTTATGCTGCAGTTATTTTGTCTGCTAATACAAATGCTTGAGTGCTTTAAAGTCCGGAGGATTCTATTTGGCTGTTATTGTTCTTTGTTTGTTTTTTTCCCATCGGCTGAAAAATCCTTCTGAAAATCATTTCAATGATATTGTTCATCTGTGTCATTATTGTTATACCTGTGATATGGACTTCAAATATTTTTTTCTTCTCAATATTGCTGTTTTTACTGCATTTTTGTCCAACATATACAGCTTAGGTGAGCATAAGAGACTTTTCAAAAGAAAATTGTAAAGGGTGAAATGAATACTTAATATTGTTAGTGAGTCAGTAACTGGGTTGATGTCAGTTCATTTTAAAATTAATCTGATTCACTGAATCAAGTAGAAGATTTACAGAAATAAGGACACTGATTACATTAGTGCTGAACTGGGAGACTAAAAAAAGTTACAAATGAGAGTAAATAAGGAGCAGAAGTGCTAAGAGAAGATGTGAAATTTACCGGAAGCCATTTGCCGACATCTCCAGTGTGCAGCCAGCTGTCTTTATCTATGGCTTCTGAGGTTCGCTCTGGGTCCTTCAGGTAACCTTGAAACACATTTGGTCCTTTCACACACACCTGTGGAAAACACACACACACACACACACACCAGTCAATTGAGAGGTACACCATTAGCATTATTCTACAAATGTTGTCAATAGAGCTTAACTTATATTGAACCCAGAACATTCCTTTAAAATTCAATATTTTAACTGTTGACAAACCTCTCCCTCTCCATTTGCTGCAAAATAATTCATCTCAGCCACATCCACAAGCTTAACAAAGTTACAGGGCAGTGGTGCTCCCACATGACCTGAGAGCAGAGACCAGGAGAGTTTGTGTTACTGCACAGGCTGTTTATACTGTACATAATCCAAGGTGTGTCTGTTTGTTTTTATGTGTTAATACGTGTAGAGTACATTGACATTGTTTTACCTGCTGTCCAATCTCCAGGAAGTGACATAGTGCAGCCTGCGGTACACTCTGTCTGCCCATAACCCTCATAAAACTAAACAATAATAATCAAAAAGACAAAAAAACAGTAACCTTAAAACCAGTTGTGGGAATACTGATTAGCAGGAGAACAGAGGTGTGTGTGTGTGTGTGTGTGTGTACCTGGCAGCCCAGCGCTGCTCGCAGGAAGGTGAGGACGGTAGGAGAGACCGGAGCGGCTCCTGTTATCATAAGCCTCACACATCCACCCAGACTGGCCTGTAGGGTCACAGGAGTCAGATTTATGTAGACATAGTAGCAGAAAATAGTTGTCACAGTTCAGTTTGGAGTGTTATGTTAATGCACAGTTTAGTTACAAAAAGGTTATAGAGTTAAATTAATTAACATTCGCAATTTATATCTGGGTGAGAGTTCTGAGCAAGCTATTGTAGATTCGACATAAGCAGAAAAACTCTGTAAGCTTCTTATATTTTTTAATCTATTTATAGCATGGCTCAATATTGTGGTATTGTGGTGAAAAAAAAAAAAACTTCAAATAAATGCTGTTCTTTTGAACTTTCTATAAATCAAAGAATCCTGAAGAACAATGTATCACTTTCCACAAAAATAATACACAATAGTACAATGGTTTTCATGAGAAAAATGTTTCTTGAGCAGCAAATCAGCATGTTAGAATGATTTCTGAAGGATCGTGTGATACTGAAGAATTCAGCTCTGCCACCACAGGAATAAATGACATATTCAAATAGAAAACAGTTATTTTCAGTTGTAATAATATTTCATAATATACCTTTATTTTTGATTAAATAAATGCAGACTTGGTGAGCATGGGCAGGGCCGGATTTACGCATAGGCATTCTAGGCACGTGCCTATGCTTGCTCATCCAGGGGGGTCCAAACACAATAAAGATATAGATATATATATATATATATATATATATATATATTTGTTATACTATGGGATATCTACAATAATAAAAGCACCAAAATCCCAGAAGACATTGAGCAAATAAATATAACAAATAATAGGGTAAAAATGACCAACTATTTCCATGTCTTCCACCTTTTTTATGTACAGAAAAACGCTTTCCTTCTCCCGTTCTCTCCCACAGACGCACACACAGTACAGACACGCACTCGCGCACACAGACGCAGACAGAAACTTTTTGGCAGCGCTGCCCCGCAAATTTATCAATAAAATAGTTTCGCAGCTGAAAAGCTACATGACATTTCTCAGAGCTTACTGTGATAGAAAACACTGTAACGGTTTCACTGATTAAGAAATAATTTTTTTTTGCTTGGGTGGTGGTAATATTAGGCCTATTATATTAATAGGGAAGGGGGGCCCAAAAATTTGTTTTGCCTATGTCACGAAAAGAGGTAAATCCGGTCCTGAGCATGGGAAACTTTTTCAAAAACTTGACAAAACACCAAGAATTCTAACCGATAACTATAAATGTAACTATAAACAATATAATTTCCATTCACACCAACAGACAACATTCTGTTTAGTATAAGCAAACTCTGCAGCTATGTCATCTGCCACTTTAAATGCTTGGGTGAATTCTGATTGGCTATCAATGTTTTTTTTTATCATTCATCAGCTAAAAAACTTATTTTGAAAATGATTCCAACAATATTGTTCCTTCGTATTGTTATAGTTGTGGTGTAGACTTCCATGTTCTCATAGAATTAGAATGATCTTTAAACTTTACATTCATAGTTATCGTCCTTGGTGTGAACGAGCCCTTAGATGAGACATGATTTCTCTTGAAGGTTTTTTTTTTTTCTCTATAAATGTCAGACAGTTGGATGCTGAGTATTTTGTAATTTGTGTGTTGCTAGGCAACAGAGTCTTTATAGGTGCTCATCTGATTGTTCTGTCCTTGGGCTCTACACACTCTTTCTCCATTTCATCTGGTTACCTGCACTTTGCTGAAGATCAGTTTATCCCACATGCTATCCTTCCTGACAACTCCACTTTTAAGCTCCGCCTCTTTCCTGCTGGAGGCAAAATCCAGAAGCCATCTTTTGAGAGGAGTGTTTGCCTGTCCGAAGATCTTAATGCAAACACACGAATGTATAATGAGCACCGAGTGTATTTAAGTACAGACGTCAATGCAAACAGTTCATGTGTGTATAACTTAACAGAAGTACCTTATCAAACATGCGGTTGAGTAGTCTGGGCACTACAGGGAATATAGTGGGCTTAAGAGTCTTCAAATCATCCATCAACAGACGGATATCACCCTGAAAATATCCAATCCTGGCCCCGTGGACCAGAAGCACACCCTACATACACAAAAATCAATTATGCAACAAGAATATAATGCCAGTTCATTTCTATATAGGCACAAATACAGTCAAGAAATTGTAATATCATATATTTAAAGTAATAGTTCACCCAAAAATGAACGTTTGCTGAAAATGTACTCATCCTCCGACCATCCAAGATGTAGATGAGTTCTTTCTTCATTGGAACAGATTTAGAATATCTTGCTCACCCATGGATCCTCTGGGTGCCATCAGAATGAGAGTTCAAACAGCTGATGAAAAGTGTAGCCCATCAATTAACATGTTATGAAGTGAAAAGCTGTCTGTTTGTAAGAAACAAATCCATCATTTAGGCATTTTAACTTTAGCCAAAACACCAGTACATAATGCATAATAACACATCCAACAGTGAAAAAGTTCATACTCTGTTGTCTTCTCACAACAAAATCAAATTCAACAAGCATATTTGTTTAGAACTATTTTGGACAGTTTTTTACTGTAAATGCTGCTTGATCTGCGCATTTTCTCCCCTGATTTAGAGGAGTTGACTTTTTCACTGGAGGAAGCATTACAGATTGAGGACTCTACCGGAAGCGATTAAAATGTCTTACTGATGGATTTGTTTCTTACAAACACACCACTTTTCACTTTACAGGACATTAATTAATGGATTGGAGTCATGTGGATTACTTTTGGATTGTTATGATGTTTTTATCAGCTGTTTGGACTCCCATTCTGACGGCACCCATTTACTGCAGAGGATCCACTTGTGAGTAAGTGACGCAATGCTAAATTTCTCCAAATCTGTTCTAACGAAGAAACAAATTCATCTACATCTCAGATGGCCTAAGAGTGAGTACATTTTCAGGAAATTTAAATTTTTGGGTGAACTGTACCTTTAACCAAAACATCCCTCAAAAATGAAATATTAAAGTATATAATAGTTCATAGTTGAAATAGTTCACCCAAAAAATTATAATTCTGTCATTGTTTACTCACCCCCATGTCGTTCCAAACTTGTATGAATTTCTTTCTTATGCCGAGCAGAAAATTTTGAAGACTGTGGGTAACCAGTCGACAGTAGCAATTGACTTCCATAGTATTTTTTTTCCCCATACTATGGAAGTCAATGGCTACCATCAACAGTTCGGTTCAAAATATTCCTTTTTGTGTACAGCAGAAGAAATAAACTTTTGGAAAGACATGAGGGTGAGTAAATGAAAATTGTGTCATTACATTTACATTTACATTTAGTCATTTAGCAGACGCTTTTATCCAATGACAACTCCACTTTTAAGCTCCGCCTCTTTCCTGCTGGAGGCAAAATCCAGAAGCCATCTTTTGAGAGGAGTGTTTGCCTGTCCGAAGATCTTAATGCAAACACACGAATGTATAATGAGCACCGAGTGTATTTAAGTACAGACGTCAATGCAAACAGTTCATGTGTGTATAACTTAACAGAAGTACCTTATCAAACATGCGGTTGAGTAGTCTGGGCACTACAGGGAATATAGTGGCAAGGTTTGTTTTTTAATTATATAATAAATAAAAATAAAACAGATAGAATAGAAAAAGAATAGAGAAAGCTAGTGTTAGAGGCCTTTTTTGCTTTTGTTAATTGTATAATAAATAAAAAGAAAACAAATAGATAGAACACAAAAAAAAAAATTATTTTAAGAAAACAAGCAGTAAATGAATAGAGTGCAAGTCTAAAAGGGACAAGTTTTTTTTGTTAGAGTTAGAGGGTCAAATACAGATGGAAGAGATGTGTTTTTAGCCGATTCTTGAAGATGGCTAAGGACACGCTCGGATTGAGTTGGGCAGGTCATTCCACCAGGAGGGAACATTTAATTTAAAAGTCCGTGAAAGTGATTCTGTGCCTCTTTGGAATGGCACAATAAAGCGACGTTCACTTGCAGAACGCAAGCTTCTAGAGGGCACATAAGCCTAAGACATAAGTCATTAATTACTCACCCTCATGTTGTTCCAAACCCGTAAGACCTTCGTTCATCTTCGGAGTAATTAACGACAGAATTTTAATTTTTAGGTGAACTATCCCTTTAAGTTCACCGCAAACTAAGTTTGTTACAAACTGTATAGAAAATATATTAAACAACTGTTTAATAAAGGTGTGCATGCATAATACATACCGCGACCACTCTCTCAAACATGTGTGCTAGTGGTAGGTAAGAAATGTGAATGTCTGTCTGGTTGAGCATGCAGTGAACCTGTAAAACACACACACATTCACACACACACACACATACACACACACATGTGCAGTGTGTAATACAGCGTACCTCTACTACTCTTTCAAACATATGTGCTAGCGGTAAGAAGGAGATGAGAACATCTTGAGGACTAGGTTTCAGCAACCCCTAATCACACACATATACACATAAACATATACAAACACATCAACACAGGACAGGAAACAGATAATTAAATGAGGAAATGAGGCACAAGAAGAGGTGAACATAACAGAAAGACAGAACTTGATTTGAAGAAAACATTTACTAACATGTATTAACTGACAAACAAAATGAAGGAAAGATGCTCCTAAAAACTTCACAGATATGATCTGTCATTTAAATCACACTGGTTGTCATTTTTGCTCGTTTTCCAAGAAATACTTCACTACAATTTAGTTTTTACATTTATAGCACATGCTTTAAAACAGTTTTGACTTACCTCTGTAACTTTAATGAAAGCAGAACAATTGGAAACAACGTTTCCATGTGTGATCATTGCTCCCTTTGGACTTCCTGTTGGAAAAAAAAAACAGATTCATTTTATTTTCTGAGTTGGAGCACTAAAAATGCCAAAATATGACAGGATATGATGAGGCAACATCTGAAAGAGACATGAAATATGTGTTCTATGTGTATTGTTTGTAAAAAAAAAAAAAAAAAAAAAAGGAAAGAAATTGGACAGACAAAATTAACATTTACATTGTAAATTGTAATTACAAACCAGTAGAATTTTCTTCTTTTCCTGTGAATTTCTGAATAATTTCTTAGTTTTTCTTTTTAAATGAATGAAAATGAATTAGGACTAGGGTTGTCAAACTCCAAAATGACTACAAAAAAAAAACATCATAAATGTATCATAACAATTGTTCTGTATGACTCAGGTGCTATAAGTCTTCTAAAGCCTTCTAAAGGAATAGTCATAATTCACTGAAAATCTTGAAATTCACTCTAGTTCTCCTTGGCACATTCAGTTGATCCAGTTCATAAAACCAGTCTGAATGATTTGCTCATGAATCAAACTGATCCGTTTCTCAAGTACAAATCAAATACTCAATACTTACAGTATTTTAGCCACATTTGCATATATTTTGTTCTCTTTCATTAAAAAGAATAAGAATGGATTAAAGTGTTAACTACAAAATAATTATGTCTATTTAATCACAATTAAATAGCTAAATACATATATAAACACTTTTACCTGTAGTTCCACTTGTGAAGCAAATCAGTGCCAGGTCCTCTGGTTTAGGTGGCTGGAAATAAAATCAAAACTAAGATTCATTAAATTACCATGAAGCAAAAAAACAACAACAATAATAAAGCAATCAAATAATCTATTCACTATTCACATATAAAGTTACAAGTCTGTAAACCAATACAGCGCTCAGTTTTACTCACAATGGGTGTCTTGTAGTTAGCTTTGCCAATAGCCTGCCAAAAGGAAGACTTCATTTAGTGAAGCACAAATACAAGATTAATGGGATCACTGCTTACCAAGGGTGTGTGTGTGTGTGTGTGTGTGTGCATGTGTGTGTGTGTGTGTGTGTGTGTGTGTGTACCTACTTAACCATATTTTGGGGACAAATTTGTACCCAAAAGTGAGCTAAACCTGACAAAATCTCCAAAAACCTCCCTTTGGGGACGTCCTCATTTGTAAAACTGGTATAACAATAAAGTAAACAAAGTTTTTTAAAATTGTAAAAATGCAGAAAGTTTCCCGTAAGGGGTAGGTTTAGGTGTAGGGTTGGTGTAGGGCAATAGAAAATATAAGGGAAATAGAAAACTATTGCACAGAATTGGGAAAAAATGCTGTGTGCTTGCTCACCTTTGTCAATGATATAGCTGATGGCCTCTGTTCCAAGTGTATCATACAGTGGCACTGCCACCAGTGAATATGTGTAACATGCCAGCTCTGAAATCGTCCACTGCAGAAATGTGCACAAAACTCAGTCAGTTGTGGAATGTACATACTTGGTTATCTTATATAGAATTAATATAAAATAAACAAAACAGAATTACAAAGTGTTGCCACACCTGCTGTATAATAAGCAAAGCAATCAATGTAGCAATCAAGCCTGTCCATCAATGTGTAATCAAAGTAATTACATGATATTTTGATCATCAAAACCAGCTTCAGATATCTGTGTCTGTGTGCATGTGATTACCTCTGGCCTGTTCTGTGCAAAGATGCCAATGTATTTGTCTCCTGTTTGACTGTGACCTCTGTGGAGTAATGCTGAACCTGCAAACTCTGCCCTGTCTGCTACCTACACACATGAACAGCATACGAAAATAAATAACTTACTCAAATGCACAGCTATATCTGATAAAATACAAATGAGACAGGGTTCAATAAACATACAGAGAAAAAAGGCTAAACTAGTTGTGGAATAAGGTTTCAAATCAATTTTGCTCTATAGAAATCTTACCTCTTTATATGAAAGCCATTTATATGGCTTGCCCGGTTGACGTGATCCCAAACAAGGACCATTATCTATAAAAAATAAAACACAAAAATGTAAAGATATCACACATGATGACAAAACTTTAAAATAACAAGGGCTTCTTTTTTGGGTGAACTACTGGTGATTTTATCTCAACGACTTGAGGCAAACAGCTATTTGACTTACTTGACACTCGTAGTCCTCGTAAGAAAAACTCATACATTGTCTGAGCATCTTTGTAGTAGTATGTCATGTATGTGTCACTGTCCTGTAGAATAGACCGACGAGCATATCCACTACCCTGAAAAACAAAAACAAAAATCTATGGTATTATGTACCAAACAATCAAATAATAACTCTGGGCAAAACCACCCCTGCTCGCTTCACACCAGATAGCTAATCTGGAAAAGCATGAACAGAAACAGTGCTGCAAACAGTGAATCGTCCCAGTGGTTTTAAAATGTACATTAGAAATCGTATAACGCCATAATGCCAATAAAATTTGAGGACCAGAACTAAACATTAATATCATTTATGCATAAACAATGCTTACAGCAGCATTAGGTTTAAATTTTGATAAAAATATAAAAAAGACTAGGCCATTAACAGCAGAGGGAAGGAAGACTTCATGCTAAAGGAATTTACAGATGGTCGCTGCACAGTGGATCTGACTGGCTTTAAAGCTGCTGCCAACATGCTTCAGGCTGTTACCATAGCAAACATACAAGAAATGGTGAGAGTACACAAACTCTTTCAGGCAAAGACAGAGACAGAGATCAAGGACATGCATCTACAATTATACTTGTCTGGGTGAAAGAAGCTGTAATTATTTGTATCCAAATCAAAGTTACAGTCTGTGCACTTGTGTACATACCCTTGGTATACACACAAAACTGCTATACACATAAAAAAGCGTGTGATGACAGAACAAGACATAGAGGAATGTGATGAAAAGACCACTCTAAAAATAAGTGTTTTCAACACACAAACACTACAAAAAAGTTTTTGGCAAGTTAGTTTTTATGTTTTTTAAAGGAGTCTCTTATGCTCACCAAGTCTGCATTTATTTGATGAAAATACAGTAAAAACTGTAATGTTGTGAAATATTATTATAATTTTTTTTTTTCTTCCTGTGGCTCAAATAGTAGAGCATGGCGCTAGCAATGCCAGGGTCATGGGTTCCATTCCCAGAGAAAACAAGAACTGATAAAATGCAAACTATACCTTAAATGCAGTGTCGCTTTGGATAAAAGTGTCTGCCAAAGGCATAAATGTAAATGTATTTTTATATATTTCAGTCAACAGTGTGACATGATCCTTCAGAAATCATTCTAATCATCATCAGTATTAAAAGTGTTTAAAATAGTTGTGCTGCTTAATGTTTTGTGGAAACCATTAAAACGTTATTTAATTTTTTTCTGATTATTTATTTAGTTATTTATTTTGGATTCTTTGATTTTGAAAGAAAGCTCAAAAGAACAGCATTTACAGAAACTTTTTTTTACCATAAATGTGTCCTTGCTGAATAAAAGTATTATTTTCTAATGATAGTGTATACACTTTTTTAAGCTTTTCTTTTACTGGCAGGAAGTGGATGTAGTCATTAAAAAAAACCTTGCTATGTGTACTGTGCAAGACTAACTGAGATTTGTCTGATTGTTTCTATTGTTCTCATCATTTGTAAGTCGTTTTGGATAAAGGCGTCTGCTAAATGATTAAATGTAAATATAAATTATAAAAAACACAAAATGCACTGTCCCAAGAAACAGCAAATGTTTTCTGCACTAAGACCTGATTGCATGTATGTCTGAGGAAACAGATGGGTAACTCAGGAAAGAGTTCATAGATTCATACAAAAAGACAGTTTTGTGACATACAGCTGGTAACCTTTTCACATGCTGGGGTAAACCCAGAGGAAGCCACAGTCTGCACTGCTGAACTGCTTCCTACAGGAAGTTTGAAAATTATCACTGTGGCATCAGATGACTTCACCCTTTCACCTCTAAAATGCATTCGAAGGTCTTTGACTGAAACATGTTTAATAAATTTGAATGTGTTTAACAAAGTTTTGCCAGCTATGATGGTGTACACGACTTCTTATGACCTTGGTGGATTTGCAAGCCATGGCTGCTAAGCAACTGTTGGAAACGTACTCGGTTACTAACGTAACCTCGGTTCCCTGAGATACGGGAAGACGCATATGGGAAAAAGCCTTTTTTCTCCTGAACTGAAGCCTTTTTTCATTCACGCAGTGAAACTGCACGACCATTGGTTCGTGCAGTGTATTAAAAAACGAACCAATGGCTAGGCAGCGGAGCTGCACAAGCCTATGGCGACAAAAAGAAACGTTTTGCAGGTAACTCTGACATGGCTTGTTTTGGGGTAAAAGTTAAGGTTGTCTTTACATACACAATTTATGTTAACCTGACGTCTTTAACTGGTTAATAGTGCCCTAAAGAACTAGTCACGCTTTCGAGTACTGCGTCTTGCTAGACGCATATGGGGAAAAGCCTTTTTTCTCCTGAACTGAAGCCTTTTTTCATTCACGCAGTGAAACTGCACGGCCATTGGTTCGTGCAGTGTATTAAAAAACAAACCAATGGCTAGGCAGCGGAGCTGCATGAGTCTATGGCGACGAAGACCGCCAAGCCCGCCAAAGCCCGCCAGAATGGATGGGGCATCTGGCTATATAAGCGGGTGTTCGCCACAGGATTCTCAGGTTACTTCGACTGAAGTAACGACTGAGTCGTGCAGCTACATAGCACGGCTAGCATCGCAGTACTCATTCCCGTATCTCAGGGAACCGAGGTTACGTTAGTAACCGAGTACGTTCCCTTTCTATACTACACTCGTACTGCTTCTTGCTAGACGCATAGGGAACACAGTACAATCACGCCATGCTAATGTAGTGGAACGACTAAAAGTATCAAACTTCCATAAGCAACCAATGCCCATAGAGAAGTTAACAAGAACCCAAGGCTAAGACGGACTGAGCTTCCTGAGGTCACACCCGGCCTGGTTAATCGTTCCAGAGTACTCCTGTAACTTCGACACCCAGGGGTCGAGAGCTAACAGGTGAACTAATGCCAGAGAGCTTGAGC